AACAATTTATTTGGCAGGTTGTCCGGTTACACTCCTTAAACCGGTCGCTCCATCCTCTGACACAGGTTTCCCCTTTTCGCAGCATGTCGCCAGCCGCGCGTATCCTCAACTCCCACCTCATTCGCACGGATATTTATCTTGGATTATCCTCACACCTAGGTCTCGAAGTTAGCGCATGTATGACTCACGCGCAAACCCCACACCCGACACAATGACTTCGATGAGTTCTCGAATAAGCGGTTGACTCTCTGTCCCTCCGCAGACTTCATCCTTCTGGGGTAGTTAGTGGTACATGACGTGTTAACACTGTCTTTCTGTCACCTTTCACGATTCCGTGCTCACGGAATTCTTCGCGTACTTATCCCCAGCAAACGACTCGACCAATTACGATTCCTGGCCGACGTCGTGCTTAGCGGGCCGTTTACGATTGAAGGAGGTTCGCAAACATAGAAATGACTAGGTAGGGTTGGCCTTGAAATAGGTTTTCCGCGAAGATTCGCCAGAAAGTGACTGAGACGTTCAATTGTCTTGAAGGCAAACAATTCCTCTGAGATTTGGCCTTACTCGTCTCCACGTCTGGTTTCGTTCGGTGTTGACAGTGAGAACACGTGACATGGTTGGTTGTTGGGAGGTGTGGAGGCAGTGTGAAGTGTCAAGCACTTTTGCAGTGCCACCAAATTGGCAGTGGGATCTCTTTGACGCAACTCAGTGGCATTTAACGTGGTTGGTGCCGGTTCATCACTCTCGATCCAAACTCATTGTTGATTGTTGGAATCGGAGACGAGTTTTGTTCTGCGCAGCAGTGACGAAGATGCGTTTTCGTTGTCTTAGAGATGCACACCGCAAGAATCGATTAGTGGTGTCGAGTGGCTTGCCTTCGGTTCTTGTGGAACCCAAATAGATTAGCCTCTGTTGGGTGTGAAGCACTTCTAGTATTTTTAGTTGTTATCGAGTGACCTTTAGTCAACACTAATGTGATCAGGATCCAGTTCAGTTGCGTCATTGAGTCGTTTGTCTCTACTGAAGTAGTGAGTTTAAAATGCATTTGAGTGAATCCTGGAGATCCATGGACCATCCGTCAAACTCTATCATTCTTCTCTTTGTGGGTCTCAGTAGCTTTCCTGCTTTTGCGGAAATGAACACGTCGAATGTGGTCGCTTCGTCAATCAATCCTGCTCATACATTTTCTAACTCTTTTCAATTCTGTGAAAAGGCTGGTTTTCCTGTCTATCACGGGGTGTCCTCTTTGTTATGAAGTCATCAAAGGAGACTCCTAAATGCAGAAATGACACTTTTTTTAGAATCATTTATTCTGCTTTCCTTTTTGCGTGTGTCAAGTTGACTCCGCTGCATGTTTTGCTGTTCACACGAGTACCACCACCGACGCCTGGCTCGGCTTCCCACGGAATTCCCTCCAACCATTCCACGAAGTTGTGTGCACAGTTGCTAAGACCAGCCCAATTTTTTTCTCCTAGTCGTCGTTTTTTGTGCTACTGCACCGGGCCAATTAACCCCAACTGCCCGCGACGTTGCGTAGTTGCTGTTGGTGGTGGTGGTGGTGCTTGTACGGATGCTGTCGATGAATCACCCGATTTACCTGGAACAAGAACGTGGATGATTCCCTTCTTCAAAATGCTTACGGTCCATCAGAACCCGTTTGCAGTAGGGTTTTATGACGCGTCCTTGTTAAACGCTCACAAATTCTTCAAAAGGCGATTCTACAGCGTTCGATACGCCAGTCGCAAATATTGTTTGACTTTGAGGCACTTTATCATAAGCACGATGTTTATCAAGCCGGATCAGACATAATTTTGATTAGCAGATGTACCGAAACCCACGTTTTATGCATTTCGCATCGGGAAACCACAAGTAGTCGCTCTAGGTTTGTTTTAATTATTGTCAAAATCTGGTGCTTTGTTGCGCGCGCATTTGATTAATAGCCCGGTAGGTGGGTGGTTTTTTTAAACTTTCGGTAAGTTCCTTTTGCAGGTGTGGATTTTCCTATAGAGCGCAGGGTTTAAAAAAAAAAGAGGACCACCTCAACTCCAGTTCGGTGATTCTGCTTACAAA